CAGTACCCTGGCTCAAAAAAGTTTAAACTTTGCTATTAGTAGGGGGCTTAATATGCCCAAAAAGTTTAAAGTTTACCTACTGGGCTCCTAAGTCAAGCTCTGGAGACTAGAGGGATGTATGAATGATTTGGCTACGGTTGCAGACTTACAGAGAAGTACCAAGGTGATTGAGAAAGAAGGATACATACTCGTCGTCATGGTTTCGCTTCCTGTTGAAAATGTACATCGGTCAGTCTAGTCTAGGTAGTGAGAAACCCTAAACCCTAAACCCCTAAGCCCTAAACCCCTAAGCCCTAAACCCTAAACCCCTAAAACCCTTAACCCTAAACCCTCAACCCTAAACCCTAAACGTCGGACCCCCAACCTTAAACCCTAAACGCCCCTCACCCCCTTGAGCCTCTCCAAGCAGGTCATCCAGCAGATCCATGCGAAGTTTGGCGCACCCTTGTGGCAGATTCTACAGGACCCCGAGGATGATGGGTTCCGCGACTTCCAGAGGCGCCCCTTCATGATCCTGGGCATTGACGCTCCTCAGGGGGAACTTGGAAGCAAGTTTTTAATTCGTGCGTGATGCTGTTGATGGACGCTATTTTGCATGACCCAAGTATAGTGTAGTACCATAAATCCCATAGTGTAGGTATATAAGGCCATGCAGGAGTGTGTCCATCAGCCGTATTTTCCTTAAGAAAGCAGCCTGAGCCCTAATCTTTGAAAGGGTTTCTCAAGGGCACTTGGACTCGGAAGCAAGTTTTATAAGGTTTTTGGTTGTTAGAATCCGTAAGCGCAGCTAAAGCTAAAGCTCCAACTTTTGCAAATGTACCGAGCTCAGCACAGGTTTACTGTACCTTCGGGGGAGCTCGGTGGCTGGGCATCTGTGCGACTTTGGACAAGGTTTTCTCTCAGTACCACTCCATGGCAGCCGAGTTGGAAAACGGATCCGTGCAAACGTGGAGGACCAGCTTGTCAGTGGAACTGCAGCGCCTCTTCCGTGATGCGCTCAGTGCCTTCACTGACTGCAACGACGGTATCCTGCCAGAAACTATCGTCGTGTATCGTGCATCAGTGAACCAAAAGGAATGGCCGCTGGTGGATGCGATTGAGGTGCAGGCGCTGCTTCAAGTTCTGAATGCCGCTGCAAAGCTCCGGGAAGGATATGTGCCCAAAATTGTGATGCTCGGCATTGCACGGAAGGCAAACATGCGGATCTTCAAGAGTGATGAGGGGACCATCAGGAACCCTCATCCAGGTACAGTTGTGGATGACCCTGCAGTTTGTCCTGGTCCAACCCCGGAGTTCTACATGATTAGCCAGGCCATTGGCAAAGGCAGCGCTGTCCCAACACACTACTCGCTATTGCTTAACAAGGCTGAGATGCCTCTGCAGTTGATCGAGAACCTTACCAATCGGCTGTGCCTCATGTATTATAATGTTCCATCCAGTGTCCGAGTGCCGGCACCGGTCCTCTATGCTACAAAGATTGCATACTTCTGTGGCAGCGTGATCAAGAAGCCGCCTAGACCGCGTCTCCAGCGGACCCTGTTCTTTTTGTGACGAGCGATGATTGTCTGCGTATGAAAGGCTTGCGCGGGAGCAATTCATAGTCGGTGCTGTGTTTTCAGCCCTTCTTCAGCAGGGCTCCAGAACTGTAAAGCGTAAGCTTTCCGAGATAATTCATGTTCTCCCTCATGGGGCTCAAGAGGATCTTATCTGTCTTCTCTACGAGTATTTTTCAGAGGCTTCCTAAACCCCAAACCCTCAACCCTCAACCCTAAACCTCTCTAAGGGGGCCAGCCCAGTTTCAGGCCTGGAGCAAACCCCACCGAAGCACGGAGGCAACGGCAGCCACGCTTGGCGGCCAGTGACGTCCTCAGCTCGCCAGCCATAGGGCTTTGCTTCAGGGGTTCTGGGTGCAGACTCTAAACCCTAAACTCTATAAACCCTAAACCCTAAGCCCTATAAACCCTGAACCCCGGGTCAGTAGCGTAAACCCTCGAAACCCGGAACCCTGAACTCCGAAGCAGAAACCCCCGAAACAAGCACGAAGACCCATTCTTCGGTTTAGGGTTTAGGGGTTTAGGGTTCAGGGTTTTAGGGTTTAGGGTTCAGGGTTTTAGGGTTTAGGGTTCAGGGTTTAGGGTTTAGGGCTTAGGGTTTAGTGAGTTTAGTGTTTAGGGTTTCGGTAGAAGGCTCGAGGGTCGAGGCTCCACATGCTTTCAGATCGCAGGTTGGCTCTAAGTCCTCCAAGCATTAAGCCGAATTAGGGTTTAGGGTTTGAGGGTTTAGGGTTTAGGGTTTAGGGTTGAGGGTTGAGGGTTTAGGGTTTAGGGTTTAGGTCTTCAAAAGCTCCTTGGAAGTCATGAAAGCTCGAGGCGCAACACTCAAATTGTGTTTCGAAAGCCCAGGAAGCAGCCGCAGCTAGCAAACTCCCGAACCTCTAAACCCTAAACCCTGAACCCTACACGCCTAAACCCTGAACCCTAAACCCCTAAATCCCTGAACCCTAAACCCCTTAATCCGAAAAACCTTCCATCACACTGTGCATGCAGACTGGAGACTGCCGCAAGCAGGCCTCGGCGACGGCCCCGAAGCGCGGGTCAAACGTCCAGCAGCGGCCATGGTCTTTCAGAATGAGACTCGTGAAGGTTGCATTTCAGTGCGATGGTAACGATGATGACGAAAACGATAAACCCCAAACCCTAAAACCCTAAAACCCTAAACCCTAAACCCTGTTTGAGCATCAGCATGGTCTGCTGTCTGATGCTACTCCTGGCGGATGCTGCTGCTGCTGATGATGGCGATGATGATGATGAGGATGATGATGATGATGATCTCAGGATGACGGTGACGATGATGATGATGGTTGTAGTGCTTACGAAGGTGCTGGTGTGAATAACAACGACGGTGACATGTTTTATGATAAAGAAGATCATGCTGATGATGGTTAACAGGTTGAAAATGCACATTTTTTGCAATAGTGGCGTTTATCATCATCAGCAGTATCATCACCATCACTATCACCATGACAACCGAATCACCAAATCAGCAGCATCACCATCATTGTCAGCATGATTCCTGGTCGTCAGTATTACCAAGTACATCATGATAACTGGTATCACATTCGTTTCTTCGTCGTCAACGTCATTCTCGCCACCAGCGTCGCAATCGTGTTGCTGAGACCTTCACCCACCACCGCCACCCCCACCGGCGCCTGGAAACATCTATGCAACCCGAGGCGGAAGGATGGGCCATCCACAATGGCAATGCGGAGGAGGCTGCACATAGTAGGACTACCTTGCAATCTAACTTTCGATGTCAGAGTATTTCGCAACACTATCCCGTTATACTAGCTTTCGAACTGTACTTTAACACACAGCCCAACAGGCTATTCAAATCATTAAGGCGCGATTGAAAAACCTCGACTGTGTCGGAAAATCTTGATTCGACATCGGCTCAGCTTCCGAAAAACAAGCTGATTGCCTAGGTTTCCAACAGCATCCTATAGCTCTCTCATCGAGATCGAGGGCCCAGGGTATTGGCTTCGAAAAACGTTTAGAATCCCTTGACTGCCAGGCCGCAATCTGCGCCTGCGCTCCTTCGGAACGACATGCCGGGGTCTGAGTTCCATCAAGCTCAACCCTATAGCCTTGAATAAGCCCAAGACTTCAAAAGACGAAAACCCCAAAGGCGTGAACATCCTAAAGCCGGAACACCCTCACACCCAAAAACAGCAATCTAAAGACTCCCCCAAAAACGCCGACACCACCGAAGAATCCTCAACTCGAGCTCAAAGAAGCGGCACCCTAAAACCCCAAACCCCGAAAGCCAGAGGTCCTTAGCCCTAAACCCCCAAAGCCCTAAAGCCCTAAAACCTCAAAGCCCTAAAATCTCAATTGCACTTACACCCTAAAACCTCACAGCCGTAAAACCTCAAAACCCTAAAAATCCTAAAACTTCAAAACCCTAAACCCTGACGCCCTAAACCTCAGAACCCTAAACCCTAAAGCCCTAAACCTCAAAACCCTAAACCCTAAACCCAAAAGCCCTAAACCTCAAAACCCTAAACCCCTCGGCCTAAGGCAAGGCCTGGTCGCTCGGAAGACGCACGAGGCGGGGTTTTAGGATTTCGGGATTTTTGGGGTGTAGGGTCTAGGGGTTTAGGGGTTTAGGGGTTTATGGGTTTAGGGTTTCGGGTTTACATGGGTTTAGGTTTTAGGATTTCGGGATTTTCGGGTGTAGGGTTTAGGATCTAAGGTTTTAGAAGTTTCGGAGGCTTTGGACTGTTGGGGGTTTAGGGTTTAGGG